GGAAAGAAAAACTAGTCTAAAAAGCATTAAAAATACGGGTTGCCTCCCGCAAAGCGCTGGTTTATCTAGGTCCCGCACGACCTTCTTACCAAGTACAATAACTAGGACCCTTGGCCTAACGCTTGGTCGGGTGGTTTTTCACCCGGTCTAGCGGTGTTTAGGCTGCGATGTGGCTTCCTGACATACCCTGTGGGACGCCAAATCACCTTATCCGGTGGATCCTCCTTGACTTGGAATGGTGGATCTACCATGCTATGCACTAAAGATCCTTCATTGATCGAGGATTGCTTCAAATTTTCCTTGCATGCAACACTTGCAACTCGATCTGGCGGAACACTTACCGTAGGCTCAAATCGCACAACTTGCTTGATCGGTTCCACCTTTTCAACCTCAAAACCAAGACCAACATTGTAGAGTGCTCTTTCTATTGCATCGACTTCCTTCTGCCATTTGTCTATCTCATCTGAAAAGGATGCAACACAAGATACCGCCTCCCAGGGATCTTTTTCAAGAGTTTGGGGCTTGTTAGAATAATTTTCAACCACATTTACACTGAAACATTTCTCCTCAGTCATGGAGCTTTTAGGGGCATTATTCAGATTAAAAACAACTTTATCATCCCATACTGATAATGTTAACTTACCACTTCTTACATCTATGACTGCTCCTGCAGTGTTAAGGAATGGTCTACCCAAAATAATTGGGGTTTGCATATCCTCAGCCATATCAAGAACAACAAAATCTACAGGTATATAAAATTTACCTACTCTAACGGGGACATCCTCTAAAACACCTAAGGGGTATTTGAAAGAACGATCGGTCATTTGTAGAGTTATATTGGTAGCTTTTAATTTACCCATATTCAACTTAGAACACACAGATAATGGTATGACGCTAACACTAGCACCCAAATCACATAATGCATTATCAATCAAGAGATTTCCAATATGACAAGGGATAGAAAAACTACCCGGATCTTTTAATTTAGGTGGAGACTTATTTTGAAGTACGACACTACATTCTGCAGTGAAAGCTACCGTCTCTACCTCACTAATAGACCTTTTTCTCGTCAATATTTCTTTCATAAATTTTGCATACGAGGGGATTTGTGTGATCAATTCAGTAAAGGGAACTATTACCTTCAAATCTTTTACCACCTCCAGGAACTTACCAAACTGCTTATCCAAGTTTGTCTTCAATTGACGATTGGGGAATGGAAGTTTGATAATTGGCTTTGGAGCATTATTACTCTTGTCTGGAGTAGCCACCTTCTCTGGAGTTGTATCCTGCAATGTAGAATTAGATATGTTAGTATTATCTTTTAGCCTTGCAGGGCTATCAACTACATTGTTTGGTTTAACGGAATTAAGATTAGCATTATTTAACAAAACAGGTTCATCAACTCCGGGCATAGAGGGCCCTTCGTAGTTTGAACCACTCCTTAGAGTAATTGCAAATACTTGATCCGTAGGCCTAGTCGGCTGTGCCGACAGAGCTCCCTGTTGGCGGGCTTGTAGGGTAGCGGAGAGTTGTGCAATATGATTATCTACAATTTTATTATGCGCTAGAATTTGATCAATTGTCGCATCTCTGCTCTCAATGTGCTTTTGCATATTAGCCAACATTGCTCTAATTTCCACCAGAGAAGGGTCAGAAGATGAGGAGGGTTGTTGTGGTTGGTTCTTCTGGCTAGCATTTGGATGATAATATTTCTGCTGCTGTTGCTGTGGCGCCTGTGGTTCCTGTGGTGGTGGGTTTTGAACATTAGTGCTCCGGTAGGAAAGGTACGGATGATTCCAATACCCAGGATTATAAGTGTTAGAGTATGGGTTATTATGCCTATAAGCTTGGAAGGCATTGACTTGCTCCACGGAACTCCTGCAATCTTGCTCCCAATGACCTACAATACCACAATTTTCACAGAAAGCCTCATTAGAATTATTATTAATCGCAGAAACATTAGCTACATTAGCAGTGCTCAGATTATCTAATTTTTGGCAAATAGAGGTTAGTTGAGCTTGCAAAAAGGATACAGAGTCTACACTATGCTTCCCCTTGTTCGCAAATCCCCTAGGATTCCCATATTGGGAATTGTGTATCGCCATGTCTTCAATAACCTGACCTGCATCTTCAACATCAAGATTCATAAATCTCCCACTAGCTGCAGAGTCTAAAATTGTTCGAGAAGAATTTCCAAGGCCATTATAAAAGGCTTGGATTAACTGCCATTGTGCTAAATTATGGTGGGGGCAATCTCTTTGTAAATCCTTGAACCTCTCCCAAGCCTCATATAAAGATTCATCGGCTTCTTGGGAAAAGTTCTGGATCGCACTCCGTAGTACTGTTGTTCTCTCTACAGGATAATACTTGTTATAGAAATTCAAAACAAGAGTTTCCCAGTCAGTTATACCAAGTGTAGTTCTATTTAAATCATTAAACCACAATTTAGCTTTTCCAGTTAAAGAGAAGGGAAAGAGAATCTCCCTGATTTGGTCTTGAGTGACCCCGGCTTGCCTGATGGTGTTGCAATATTGACAATAGTCGGCAATGTGAAGATTCGGGTCTTCACCCTTGGCTCCACTGAATTGCTTCCTCTCTATCATCGTTATAAATTGAGGTTTAATTTCAAATTGAACCCCATTAAGAGCCGGAGTAGGGGTGAGATGTGGAAAATCCATAAGCTTTGGTTATGAATAATCACTAAGCTTCTTTGGAGCCGTCATCTCTGATTCTGCGTCTGATGATACCTCTGAATCGCTAGAACCAGTAGGAGGATCTCGGTGATTATTGTTATTATCACCAGAATCCGCCAGGATTTGCTTGTAAAGATTTTTCTGTCGATGGAAGGAATGTTCGATCTCAGGATCGAATGGGATGTAACCTGATCTGGAACACCTGGGCATAAACAAAAACTAGAAGCAAATATGAGATTTGTCTCAGAGAACTAACGCTCTTTGAGATAAAAAGGGAAATAACCTAGACTACAAAATTAATCAGAAATAAAAATAAAACCGTCTCCCGGCAACGGCGCCAAATTTTGACAAGGTAAAGTCGTATCCCCTAATCAAAAGTAATTCCTAAATCCTCTAACTAATGTAGATAGGGAAGTAGGGTTGAATCAACATAGAAACGAGTCTTTCTATTCCTAATTAAATAAAGTAATCTAAATTATAAAGTAACCAATATGTAAGTTTGGATGTGAAACTAAACTACGGAGATTAAGAAAAGGGAGAAAACAATATATAAAAGGATCTAGGGCATAGGTTCACCAATAAATAATACTCCAGGGTAAAACATAGTAATCAATCATTGACATTGCATAAATAACATGATTAACAGGCTCTCGGAATTTATTAATCAACATAGATCTAACAGGCTCTCGCAATTTACTAGATCTAAGTTCTTATTGAAAATAGCCTTTAATATCAAATTAACATCTGCTCGATTCATCAATTTAATAAAGCTATACTTTTACAAGCCGCAATTGTAAAACGTTAAAACAACTCAATAAGAAATTATCACGCAATATCAATAATCAATAATAGTCAATCATCAATGCATCAATTAACCAAATTGTAAAGGGCCTTCGCTACGTATTACAATCACACAATTAATTTACTGGTATTAAATCTCATCTCTCGAATCTCGACTCAATGTTGTCAAACTCATGCATAAAAGATAGGCCTAATCTAGTCACAGAGCATTAAATCCATCAATAGGAAATTAATCTAGCATTGACAATCAATAACAATAAATTACCCCTTCATATTATTTATGGATCCCCATCAACCCTAGAAATAAAACTACTCACACATAGTAAAAACTAAACTAATCAAAGTAATAAAATAAGTCATGATGAAAGGAATAAAATAAACAACTAAGATTAAGAGAAGAGAAATCGTTACCAAAATAAATCTGGAATTAAGAGTAGATTAAGAGCAAAGGTTTAGGAGAAAGAAATCTAAGAGAACAATTAAGAGAGTAAGGAAAGAGTAAAAGAAAAAGAGAAGGAAAGAGATAGATCCTAAAATCGTATTACGGAGGAGTATTTATACTCCGTACAAATCCTAAACTAAAACAAACTAAAACGACGCTAATCGTCAACTAATAAATACACGCGCCCGATCGGGCGAGGCACCGCCCGATTGGGCGCGCCTTTTTGCTCATAATACTAATCTCGCGCCCGGTTGGGCGCGTCACCGGGCGCCACCCATAGCTTCTCCCGCCCGGCCGGGCGCGCCTCCGGGCGCCAGCCTCTTTGGCCGGGCGGCTCACTTGGGCCACTATTTGGACTACGATTGGGCCCCAATTCTTCGGGCCAATCTAGGTTTCCTCTTCCGGTCTTGAATACTTGGTCCAAATGCCCCGGTATCACCTATACCGAGCCCTTAATCACCAGTTCGATTGCTCTAACCGGCCCTGGGCTATAAAATCTGGTCGTGCTTCTCCAATGTTCGTGATTGCTCCAAAATATCTCGGGAAAATACTCCAAAAGCATAAATCCCTGCAAAAGTCAACCAAATCTACGAAAACACTAGTAAACACCAAGTAGTAATAAAAGTGGCTCTAAAGAGCCAAAAACACTACTAATTATGACCAAGGGACGGGGGTAAAATACTATATAAAATAGACATATCAACAACCTATCAAGCGAACATGAGAATTCGTATTTCAAGTCGTTTGCAAGGAGTAAAGATGAACTCGAAGATTCCTTAGCCATGAATTTGCATGTTTGTACAGAGGCTGATCGGAGATGTGATGTTTTACGGTGGGAGTTGGCTGAGTTGGAGGCTGAGATGTCTCAATTTAAGGATTTTGAAAAAAAAAAAGATCAGGGCATAAGAGGGTTAGGGTTGATAGTGACTGTGTTGGTGTTATAGAAATTGTTAGTGGTAGTGATGGTGAGGCGGAAGTTGGTTCTAAGTCAAAGGCGTCTAGGTCTGTGGCTGTTGTAGGAGAGACATCTGGTGTGGTGTAATATCGAGGGTAGGGTTGTTGACATGGAGATTTCCTCGGATGATGAGGATGTTCATTTTATTGCAGAGGTCCCTTGTCGAGTTGCTGAGGAGGTGCAAGGGGAAGGTGTTGATCAGGCTGCTTTGGTGGTTCATCAGGAACCACCAGTGGTTCATGAGGAAGTGCAGCCTGAAGTAGAAGAGAAACAGGAAGAAGATGAGGAGGAAGAAGAGGAAAGAGATGAGGATGAGGCGCAAGATGAGGAAGAAGAAGATGAGGAGGGTGAGCCTCAAGAGGAGCAGGTGCAGGGGGAAGTGTTTGAAGAAGAGGCAGGGGATGTTGATGAGGGACAAGAAGTGGATCCCGGGGAGTTTAATGTAGATTCCGAGGATGAATTTGGAGGTAACATATATCATTACTCTCTCGGGGATTCTGATGTAGATTCGGAGGCATCAAGTTCCCCTCGCCCTAGTAGTTCGGGTAGTAGTTTGTTTAAGCGGGTTTTTTTTTTTTTTTTTTTTTTTTGCAAGCTTGTGAAGTGTAGATTATAGTCTTTTGCATTACTTTGTAGTTGTTAGCAACTTTTTAGTATATTAGATGTAAATCTATATAGCTTTATTAGGTTGTAATTGGAAATTTGAAATTAATGAAATATGGTTAATATTCAGTTTATTGTTTTTAAAGTTTTGTTTTGTTCTGTTCCTTTTTTAAGAAAATAATATTTGTGTCTTTTGCAACATTGTGTGCTGTGATAGAATATTGAGATATGTTATTGGTTTTGTCATGGAATGCTGTTATTTTCTTCCAAAATTTTTGTTGTTTTGAACTTGTGTGGCTCATTGGGATCATTTTGTACTTAAAGCGAATTTATGTTGTAATTAGCTATATTGGAAACACTAATGTGAGTGTCGAGGGAATCGAAAATGAGGTCTAACTTAACTATTGAGGCGGAGTGGCATAAGCTTTAATAATCTTAGACTATTTGATCCCTCTTAACTCTTGGAGTAGAAATGTTGGTGGTGACACAATTCAAAGGTTGTCTAATGCTATACATACTTATAATGAAACTAAGTTATAAAGGCTTTGAAAAGTTAATATTTGTAGTATGTTCCTGTCCGACTTCTTATGCTGGATCTATGGAACTTATTGCTGGGTATAGAATGTCAGTCTATGAAAAAAAATGGTCTTTTCCTAAATTTTAGGTCTTTTGGTTGAGTTTCATGTCAATTTACAAAGTCTGAAACAAAAACTTCTACATTTACGCCTTTAGATGAGTGTGATTAGGTTGCATGAACTCTAAAGTCAAATATTTATGTTGGAGATGTTATTATAATTAATTTTATGTTTGACTCATGTTTAGAGTCTTTTTTTTGTTAGTTGAAATTCTGCATATAAATTGAGTTTTTCTGTATATTTTTTTTGGTGTTGTGGTTTTTTTTTTGGTAAGGATGGTTAAAAAGTGTGGGCGAAAGCCTCTGATTCAAGGTTTGTCATCTTCGATGATCGAGGGGAATGCTTGGGCAAAATGTATGTCAGCTAGCCGTGAAGGAGCATATTTTTATTTTGTATTTTCTGAGTGCTACCATTCAAATGGAATTATTGTATGAGTTGTTTGAACTATTGTATTTTAAATGTAGTTTGCTTATTTTCTAATCAATCATATTTTTATTTTGCATTGACACGTTGTTTTCGCGATGCAGAATATTCCCTTAGATTTTGCTAGAGAGCATTTTTGTAGACTTGGGAAAACGACTGATGTTGTGTTGTGGCTTTATGATACAAAGTTCAAAGCCAAATTGAAGATAAAGACTTACGATGGAAAAATGGTGCAATGTTTAATTAAGGATGGAGTTGATGCAGTGATTGATGAGTACGATGTTCAGGTTGATGAAGGTGCTGTAATTGAGCTTTTGAAGCGGAAACCTATTGTTTTATATATAAATTTACAATTAAGTACTGATTCCTGATGTATTAATATTTTAGGCAGAAGTGATGAACTTGTTTATATTTGATGATTTAATAAATTTTGGATTTTTTATGATTCTGGAATTTTTGTTTATATAGTTTGGTAAAGCTTAAGTCTTACATGAATTTGAGTTCTATTGTTTGTAGTTTTATTTGAGATTTTTTATATTAGCACGAGTTCAATGTTGGCAATAGATTCTGGCTTCTATACTATTAATCAAATATTTCTTTTGTCCAATTTTCACAACCTATATTGTTATATTTGTCTTTCTGTCCACAATTAGGAGTTATTTTGAGATCCAAAGAGAAAGAAATGTATAATTTAGACATGTAGAGAGAAAGAAATGTAAAAAGGAGGAAAAAGAGGTTGTGAGAAAAAGAAAGGGAAGGATGTAGTGATAATTTAGGAGAAAAAAAAGGTTTTGAGATAGAGAGAGAGAAGGTTGTAGTGATAATTCAGAATGAAACATCAAGATATGGAGGATTTTCTATCACTCACTGCTTTAAGATACACTAGTGGAAAAAACATCATCCGTAACGGGCAAAAAGGGGCCATCCGTAACGGGCAGCGTCCGTTACGTATGCGGCCGTTACGGATGGCCATTGTTATTCGTAACGGGCACTGTCCGTTACGAATAACTCATTATTCGTAACGGACATTTCAAATGTCCGTTACGAATAACTCATTATTCGTAACGAACATTTCATATGTCCGTTACGAATAACCCCTTATTCGTAACTAACATTTCAAATGTCGGGGTTATTCGTAACGGACATTTGAAATGTTAGTTACGAATAAGGGGTTATTCGTAACGGACATATGAAATTTCAGTTACAAATAAATCCTTTTTGTATTAAAATAAGTCCTTATTCGTAACGGGCACCTAAAATGCCCGTTACGAATAAGTGATTATTCGTATCTGACATCTTTAATGTCCGTTACGAATAAAGTTTTATTGTATATAATTTAACACTTATTTGTAACGGGCAACAAAAATGCCCGTTACGAATAACTGGTTATTTGTAACTGACAATTCTGTTGCCCGTTACAAATAATTATTAAATTTAATTTTCATTTTATTTAATTTCGACAGCATGTATTTATATATAATTAATATATATTAATTAAAACCTGTTATAATAAACATGTTCCTGTAAATAAGCAATTATACCGAACAATCTTTCGTAAAAATTAATACGACGTAATATAAAAACTGAAGTAGTAACACGTTACAAATAAAAACTTGTATAAATTTATCCAACATATACAACAACACTAAAAATATTACGTTGTTCTACCTAAGCTAATAGTTATGCATTCAATAAATATTTACTTCTAAAGTATTGTGCCCATTGTTCTCGAACCACATTCAACTCGTTACCATCATACGGGGCGGTCCTTGGACAAAAATCCTATTGAAAAAAAAAACATATGAAAGAGGTTACAAAATAAAAACAATCCATAATAAAAACAATCATTAGAATAAATGTGATGAACCAAATTATAGAAATAAAAATCATAATATAGAAACAAAACACATAACATCCTTAATTGACTTATATTTTGATTTCTATGAGTTGAAATCAATAAAAAGTGAACATTTACTCACTTTTGGGAGCGTATAGAGCCAAAAAGGCTTCAAAATTGCCTAAGGGACTTCTACCTTTCCCATCTTTCATGTATTGGTTCAAATTAACACAATATAATACTAAAAATCCTTAATTACCTTATATTTTGGTTTTTATGAATTGAAATCAATGAAAATTGACCACTATCTCACTCTTGGGAGCGTATAGAGCCAAAAACGCTTCAAAATTGTCTAAGGGACTTCTACCTTTCCCATCTTTCAAGTATTTGTTCAAACTAACACAATATAACACATAACATCCTTAATTACCTTATATTTTGGTTTCTATGAATTGAAATCAATGAAAATTGACCATTTACTCACTTTTAGGAGCGTATAGAGCCAAAAAGGCTTCAAAATTGCCTAAGGGACTTCTACCTTTCCCATCTTTCATGTATTGGTTCAAATTAACACAATATAACACTAAAAATCCTTAATTAACTTATATTTTGGTTTCTATGAATTGAAATCAATGAAAATTGACCATTTACTCACTTTTAGGAGCATATAGAGCCAAAAAGGCTTCAAAATTGCCTAAGGGACTTCTACCTTTCCCATCTTCATGTATTGGTTCAAATTAACACAATATAACACTAAACATTCTTAATTACCTTATATTTTGGTTTCTATGAATTGAAATCAATGAAAATTGACCATTATCTCACTCTTGGGAGCGTATAGAGCCAAAAACGCTTCAAAATTGCCTAAGGGACTTATACCTTTCCCATCATTCAAGTATTTGTTCAAATTAACACAATATAACACTAAACATCCTTAATTACCTTATATTTTGGTTTTTATGAATTGAAATCAATAACAATTAACCATTATCTTACTCTTGGGAGCGTATAGAGCTAAAAAGGCTTCAAAAATTTGCAAATAAAACTACTAACCTCCTCTAAGACACCTTTGCACTCCGAGTGAGAAGTAACAATCTCATACATGTATCTCATAATATAGTAGCCACGTTCAACGCCTCCTTGTTGTTGAGCACACTAGTATATATAACAAATAGTTAAAAATTTTGTTTTCAAAGTGAACAATGTATAACAATATGGGGTGAGTAGTGTATTTACCTCCATTTGTATGAATTTCAATTTTTGCCTTTGTGATTTCAATTCACTCCCTTTGAGATTCGCCCGATATACTTTATAAGCCCTACAAAAATAATATATATTCTAACACTTAGAACAAAATAATCTACAACACCACATACAAAAATGATATAGAAACTAGGGCATAATTTCAAGGTTGTGGCTCACGTCATCATAATCTCGGCAATTTTCAATTTTCGTGGATTTTCTTTAGGTAGATTCATAGAGTCAAACTCATAAGCTAAACCTAATTGTAGATCGACCACCACAAGAACCCAATGACCACTACATCATTTAAGAGGAAAACACAAGTTAGAGTATTGGAAAATTGGAGAAAAAGATATCATTTATATGATTAAGTATAGTGGCAATATAAAAAACATATTTCGAACCTTGCGACATATGGAGCCACGGTGAATTTGCAACGTTTACCTGTCTTTCTTACTTCATGCAAAAATGTATTCTTCACATATGTATAAGTTTCAAGGTAATCATTCTCAATTGAAGATTCAGAAATGAGTTGAGGACAAAAGAATGTGATCTCAGTCCTGTTGAAAAGGTCGATGAAGTTGTCTACTAAATACCTACATGATAAAGACATAGAAAACAAAAAATTCAGCATTATTAGCAATAAAAATATTACTATAGTGAATATAAGAACCAAAGTAAAGGAAGATTAAGTAACCTACATGATATAAACATGAATCAATGAAACATTAGCCCACGATCCTCTTAGAAATTCACGTACATCGGTAGCGGTTACCCAAATCTGTTTGTCGCTATCAAAATTAAACATTGAGGCCTTTAAAAGTACCAATGTTGTATCATACTTTGCATCATCAGAATTCATTAACCAATACAACAACTCACACCCCTCGCCAAAAGTATCGACAATTTTATCTTCAAGTGGTAGGAATTTTGTGGGTTTGATGGTTTGCCTTGATTTCACACCACAACTATCGTCCCCTTCTTTGCTTTGGCGAGATCTATGCTTCTTTTTGGGCGATGGTGAAACCTTTACAAATAGGTGAATATTAGTCTAGATAAAGTATACAAAAATGATGGGATTTAATGTTAATAGTAGGAGAATATACCTCTTCTTCCAAAAAAACCATGTCTATAGGCCATAGTACAATGGAAGACTTGGCTTTTCCCAACTTAGTCATACCATCGGGAGACGGTACCGGTATATCGAGGAGGGCACAGTCGGGATAAGGGTTGTCCACACTAATCCTGTAATGATCAGGTAACATCTTCAGGTTGTGAGTAACTTCACCGGTAACAGGATATAAAATTCCATCTGCCACAACCACTAAATTTTGATTGTACTCATCTTTCAATGCTAGGCGACATTTAGTGTCTACCTACATATTACAAAAAACTCGATCAATATTATACATGTTAACCATGTAAAGTCATATCTTTAGTATTAGTTAAAGACATATACCTCTATTACACGAGGGTTTTGTGTTGCCTCCATGTTCGTCATCACTTGCATTCCTTGAAATGCCTTCACGTCACCGGTCATCTGTGGTAGTAAATTGGTGAGATAAGCTTTCACCTCCATTGCCACCCGTTGTTCCAACCTCTCTTCGATCCTCTCTTGAAGCTTCTCTTCAACCTTTTCTTCTAGCCTCGCCTCAAATTCTTGAGTTAGGGTAGCTTTCATTGATTCTAACTCTTCTAATGAGCATCCACCTTGGCCGGATGATTTATCCCTTTTTGTATCCCTTCCCAAATACTTGTGTGTGACTAACTCCAACCCCACACCTTCCTAGTGCTTTTACATGCCCGCGGTGATCTCTTTTTCCTAAAGCCTTGTCGAGGGCATCCATACCAATACCATCACTTGAATTGTTTCCTTCACCATTCTTTTGCAAGTTTTCCAACTATTAAAAAAAAAACATATATAAGATATGGCAGAACAAGAACCAGAATTGAAAAAAAATGATATGCATAAATAAACTTGTAGCCTACAGCATATATAGCATAGAAGTGAACAAAACTGATCAGAACTGAAATTTCAGAACTGATCGGAACTGAAATTTCAGTGATTGGAACTGATCAGAACTGAAATTTCAGAACTCAAATTTCAGAACTGATCGGAACTGAAATTTCAGTGATCGGAACTGATCAGAACTGAAATTTCAGAACTGATCGGAATCGAAATTTCAGAACTGATCGGAACTGAAATTTCAGAACTGATCGGAACTGAAAATTCAGAACTGATCAGAAATGAAATTTCAGAACTGATCGGAACTGAAATTTCAGAACTGATTGGAATTGATCGGAACTGAAATTTCAGAACTGATCGGAACTGATCAGAACTGAAATTTCAGAACTGATCGGAACTGACATTTCAGAACTGATCAAAACTGATCAGAACTGAAATTTCAGAACTGATCGGAACTGAAATTTCAGAAGAGCTTATGACATGATTGCTGGACTTGATTATTTGCACAAAGACAAATACTTACCACTACTACGACATGGTGAGCCACATTCAGATTAGGGACAGAGGGGAACATAGGGAAAACAGAGAATATAGTAGAAGAACAATACTGATATATTTTACCAGTATATCAGTATATGTATAATGGAACATTAAGGGTTTAGTGGTTTGTCAATAAATATACCAAAAATTTGTTGAAGAACAATATTGGGATTTGTTGTGGAGTTAATGTCAACCTTGTACTGTTGGTGCAAGCCAACACTAGCTCAAAAGTCAAAACCCATACGTCACTCTATTTACAAACAACTCCGATCCTTATTAAATTATTCTAAGATCGATTAGCACCATACATTATCACCAAAAAAATAAAAGTACATATGCATTTGATAATTAATGTTTTATTAGCCAAATTGCACCAAACAACTTATTCACCTTAATAAATACAACTCAAATTAAAATAGTGTTGTAGATTAATTATCCATTGTTTAGTATTTCTATTTTAAAAGTGAAACTTAAATTTGATGGTAAATTCTTACTTATGTATGACAGAAACCATATTTAAAAGTGGTAGGGGATCAGAAGTGATTTAGTATGATTTTATTGACGACTAATTGCAGCAGTAGTTTAGGCAATGCTGTAATTAGTCAATAGGACTAAATCACTAGATTCACTACTATAGAGAAAGGCTTTATATAATAAGTTGAATGCTTCGACCATAGTGTGCAAAATTCCTGTTTCTCTTTATCAAGCTCAATTATATTATTATTATTATTAGCAACCTTTAAGAAATGCTTTCAAGAGAGAAAGCAAGAAAGAAAATGGAGGACCAGAGAATACTCTGCTCAATTTTAGTGATGGTTAACAACAACTAAGCAAGCAACAACTAATCAGAACTGGAATTTCAGAACTGATCGAAACTGTTCAGAACTGATCATAACTGAAATTTCAGAACTGATCGGAACTGATCAGAACTGAAATTTCAGAACTGATCGGAACTGATCAGAACTGATCGGAACTGATCAGAACTGAAATTTCAGAAATGATCGGAACTGAAATTTCAGAACTGATCGGAACTGATCAGAACTGAAATATCAGAACTTATCGGAACTTATCAGAACTAATCGGAACTGATCAGAACTGTAATTTCAAAACTGATCGGAACTGATCAGAACTGTAATTTCAGAACTGATCGGAACGGATCAGAACAGATCGGAACTGATTAGAACTGATCGGAAAAGGCCTCAATTTTAGCAAATCCCATTAAACAACGCAGGAAGCAGGAAATGAGCAATAAACAGAAAAGGCCTCAATTTTAGCAAATCCCATTAAACAATGCAGGAAATGAGCAATAAACAGAAAAGGCTTGATCACTGATCAGCTCAAAAGTATAAACAAGTAACTGAAAAAAAAAACTATACTTGGTTACTTAGAACAACACTTACAATAGCATTGGGTATTTGCTGGGTTTCGGCATTCTTCGGGTCTGTAGCCCACGATCCATCTGCATTACGAGTTTGACGGGCCAAAATCCAATAAAGAGACCGGTTTTTAAGCTTTTCACTCATTACACAGCTTGTCGTGGACTCTGTGGTGCTTGAGGTTGAAGATTCTGCTAGAATTCTATTGGTCTTACTCCAATTAACTCGAGCCCTCTCATAACTCTTGGAGCCTAGATGGTGGCGATGCTTATTATTCTTTGCATTTTCCTTGCCTTTTTCACTCAGAGCCTATTACAAAATGGAAAGCTATTGTAAGTAGTATTGTAGTTGAAATAAAGTATATATGTGAAAAATACTTTCACAATATCTTACACACCTTAAATTCATCTGTATTGCAATATGTCTCAAACTCTTTCCATTGCTCTTCTGTGATGTAACCTTCATAAAGCTCCCAGGGCTTAATGTTTGCACTTGGTGAGTCAGGCGGAGGTGCAGTTTCCTTAGTAATGAATCGTGAAACTAACCAAGACTTGTGCTTCCTAAATCTAGCACCAACAGCTTCGTGGAACTTCTTCTCTTTACTACCCTTGGGATCATCAATGTGGAACTTCCGCTACAAAATTAGAGAATGTTAATATTCATAATTAATTAAAAGTATCGTTAAATTTAGAGCAATAAACCATATTTATATCGTAATTACCTTACTCTCCTCCCACAAGTTTTGCTTTTGAACTTTATCATACTTCGGATTACCCTTCACATTAATGTTAACTCTTTGAGCACAATTACCAATTTGCTTCCCATAAGCAGATTCCCACTTTCCAATAGGCATGTCAAACCCATCAAATTCGAGGTTAAATAAATTAATGACTTGACTTGTCAAACCCATCAAATAATCCCGTTACAATTAATAAAATTATAGCACAATTATTTTATTAATTAATTGAGATAAAAATAGTACTTCATATTTATACAATGTGCAAAAAAAAAAAAAAAACATTTATTATTGACTAAATAATTTAAACTAAAAACCTTCTGCTTCATTGATTCTTCTTAGTCCAAAGCTATTTAACTTTTCAATGATCTTCTTAGTCCAAACCTTCTGCTTCATTGATTCTTCTTAGGCCAAAGCTATTGCTGCATCAGGCCCCGTACTTGATCTGCAACATTGAATAATATATTGGCCTCTTGAATCAATATAGAGCCAATCCACTGGACAGCTGATGCAACAATGGATTTTGCCATGGTTGTGAGCTTTGGTGTTTACTTTAGTTTTCCTATTGATTTCACAGAAATGAATCAATATTAAAGATAGTCTATTCTAACTTACAACAAACACACACACATTACGGGGAAAAAGAGAATTATGAGGTGCCTGACATATCCTACTATAGCAATGAACCTTTTATTTGGGTGAAATTCTTAGATCTTTTCACAATTGAGGAAAGCTTATTCTTCAAATAACCAAAAAGATAAATCAATGAAAGTAAATAATACATCTGTAACCAGAAAGATACAGAGGCAATATATCAATGGGGAGCAGGGGAGGTAGAAAGAAGTTCAAAGCCAAACCTCAAAACGGAGATATGAAACTGAGACAGCCGTAAATACAAATCCTGCAGCTATATAATACGAATTGAATGAGGTCTACCCTTGCTATGTGCAGGAATGAGCCTTCTGTGAGTACCAAGTTTAATGTTGAATGTGTGCACCGCCGAATCATGCAGTACCTTGATTTCAGCTTTATCTCCAGTATATTTCTAGGATATAAAATAACTGAAATCCATACGCTCTCCATGTCTGAAAGGAACTGTCAAAATAGTAAAAATTAGTTTACTGTTGATATTTTTCACACTTGCATGGGCCACATTAGACATTATCAGCAAAAGTAAAATTTGGTCAATCAATCTATAATTTCAGTTGATATGTAGCAACACAAAGCAGAAAAGGTTCAATCAATCTATAATTTCAGTTAATATGTAGCAGCACAGAGCAGAAAAGGCAGTATAATGCACTAGAAATGCATAATCCAATGTTGACCAATATCCTACTTTGCATCCTCTGACCACTATCCTATCAAGGAACCTTCCTCAAATCAGCAATTATAACATAAGTAGCAATTAAACCAAACTTCATTTCCCAGTTGAGTCAGCTACAGACTGGAATCAATTTAAGACCAAAAATCTTCTTAAAGACTCTAAGAGAGTAAGAGCACATTAAATTTTAATCAGGCACTAACTGATCAAACAACTCAAATGCTTATTTTAATCAGGCAGTAATTGATCAGCAACTCAAATGCTAAAAGGGGGTGGGCGGAAGAAGAATAAAATATTACCCACAAAAATTAATTTTTTAGGACCAAGAAATTCAAGAAAAAGGGGATGACAATGGATTCCTTACTTCTCTTGTCTTTAAAAATCTCTTTAATTACTCAACATAGATGAGGCAATACATTGCAACAAAAGTAAAATATTTCCTAAAAAAACAGAAGGATAACCACAATGACATTCATACTTTACATATTCCTATCGAAGATTGACCGGACATGTAACAATGACTGTCAAGTACCTGATCTCAATGAGTTTAGAAACAAAATAGCAGGGTTATTGAAAGTACAACAGTTCAATTATCACAGAGAAAGAAAAATATTATTGAGAGTTACTTGATTCCAATTTAACAAAAATCAGAAACCTTCACAAGAATAGCATTGCCAACATTCATTAAACCTGCAATTTTTAGAAATCAAGGTATAATAAAATACAGTTGCAGCATCCACAATATACAAACTCTTGTTTTACATACATAGTCAGGTTGGAAATTTGATCACCAGGGATATGGATATTCACCACAAAAACCAATTACGAGGCAATCACAAGCCAAATAGCCAATCAGATCTTTGTAAATTTTTTCATAAATCTTGAGTGTTGTAAAATTATCTTACACTCTGGTAATTCAGGGTTCTTATACTCCTCTGTTGTCCTATTTTCTTGGTTTTAGGGTTTATCGTCCATGAATTTATTTGCTTCCGCTAGCACTCATAACCGTTACATACTTAATGTAACAATGACAATAATTTATTCATATAGATAAAAGAAACACATGTTATAAATCAAACCAAAAAAATAACTCATGATGTAAACTGTCTTATAATTCGAGACAAGTACCTAAGTCTTATTTGCTGATACGCCTTTTCATTGCTGATAAGGTTTATTACAAAGAGATAACAACAACAATAAACAAGAAACTAATTCTAACAGTAACAAATGTATGTATCTACACAAGCAACTAATTCTAACAACGTAAGAAAAGGATTTGTGCTGCGCACATACCAGTACACCACCCATTGACCCACCCACCAACATACACAAGGAGGAAGGGGAGGGAAAAACAGATAGATATGATACCTGCGAATTCTGCCATCAAGAAATCGAGTTCACCATTTGCCTTCTTATCATTAGATGCATGCAACAAAGGAAGTATGCTTTCATGTCTCGCCATGCCTGCAAACTGGCACAAATCTAACTAACCGGAGAAATACCGAGAAGGAGGTTCCCATTCAAGCAAGCTAAGGAGAGGACGAACTTGGTCTTGTTGAGAAGAAACTTCATAAGGAAGCCCATTGGAACCACCTTCGACTTTTGGGGGCCTTTCTGTTGACGTTCTATTGGAAGAATCAGCAGCTCGCTGCTACCTAAGATTAATTTCTGCTCGAGTAGCCTCTTTCAATCATCCAAAGTAGAATCAAATTAAAATTTCATATATAAAACCCAATAATTCATTTAAGCTTAAAAAGAAAATAGGAACGACGAAAGGAGGGGATACCAGCAGCTTTATCTTGAAAATACCAGAGATCAAACAAATGCATATACTTCAAAATCAGCTTTATAAGATCATGTGGAAGCTCAGAGAATCAAACAAATGCATTGTAGACACCCAAATGTGTCTCCCCAAAACCAAATTCAGTGATGAGTACCTTTCACGTCGAATCATAATCGAATGAAGCGAAAGTGTGGAAAGTTTAGTGCTGCAGATAAGTTTTAATTTCTCTTCTCTTCTCTCTGTTTTGAAAACTTATTTTAAGAAAATAGTCAATCCAGTTTGGTTGGTCCATGATATGGGTCCAATAGTAGTGTAGTTGGATGGGGCTTGACAAGTCCTTTCCAACAATATATTATAAGCCCAATTTCGATGAATATTGAGGAAGTTATGGCCAATTTACTAAACTGGGCCCGGTTTGAGCCTTATGTACGGCCCAATGATCTAGAGGAGGGCCTAATATGATTTATCATTCCTAATGCAATTAGGAATGGTTTTAGTCTTCTAGATTCTTCTAGAAGGTTCTTTTTCATTCCTAATTTTATTAGCATTGATAAATTGACTTTTTGTTGACTTTTCAGAGTTTTAATTAAAATCGAATAGCATTTTCGAGGAAATTATATGATTTTATCCTCCAGTGCGACAAACTTATTTGATTTTCGAAAACGCGTTAAAACCGGGCTTGGCGCCTGACTCTAGGCATTGGCGCCTAGAACCAGGCCTGGCGCTTGGCGCTAGTGTTGGTGTCTGGCGCCAGTTAGCCAGGGTTTGCGCCAGCTCTGTTTTTTGTGCGTCAGACTCTGTTTTGTTTATTTTATCTTTTTGGCTGATTTTCTCTATAAATAACGTATTAAAACTCCGTTTCATTCACAAATTTCCACCGATTCTAATCAACATTCATCTATATTCACCTACAATCAGTTTTCATTCGCAATCATTAATTCTCTAATTCTCTCTTAATCATTCATCAATCAATTCATTCATTCATCTCTCTCTCCTTTTTTCTAAACCTTGCTTTTACATACAAAATTCCGCATTCATTAGATCTAGAAACACCTAGCCATATTCGAAGTTGCCTTCGCCCTTGACGTGAAAGGTTTAATTTCTGAGGGTTTGGTCCCAAATATCTCTTTCAATTATTCAATTTAATTTTTTGATTTATTATTTTCCTTGAAGTTACTAACGTGTGTATTTTGTTATTAGAAAGAGGTACGAGGCATCAAAGTAAGTACTTTAATGATTTATTGTTATTATGATGTAGATATCATGTTTATATTGTTATTATGATATTCCTAGTATCATGTCTAGGGTAATTTAATATTAAATATGCTTATTATGATTCCTGCGATGCTTCTTATGTTCTTCCTAATATTTATGATTGTTAGTATCATGTTAGGGTTAAAGATTTGATTTTTATTGCTTAGTGACATGCTAGGGTTTGTTATTAATCTTGTTAGTATCATGCCTAGGATCTTGCTATTATTATTATGCTTTAACATGATTATTATGATTATCTTTAATTGTTATTATGATTATTATTATTATTATTTATTTATTGATTATTTATTATGTTGCTTGATATTTATTTATTGCTTGATCACACCTTTTATGCATGTTTAAAGGGAATTTGTACTTGTAATCATGCTTAATAAGATAATTAATAATCTTGTTTAGGGTTAATTGTGATTATAATCCAAGTGATCGCCAATAATAGATTTATTTGTGCATTAAATTCAACCAACATAGACAAACAGGTTTAGGGTTAATCCTATTGATTGTATGTTAATTAAAAAGCGCACATGAATACGATCAGAATAAAGTAGAGGCCTATTATTAGGGCAGGTTCAATCTCTTTTAGGTTGGATTTGTACCTTCATCCCCGAACCCTTATTTGGTTCTAGACCTTATGGAGTTGACGATCTCCTGGATCGTTAAGGGGTGTAACTTTCACCCTGTGAACGGTTTACAAGTTCCTAAAACTTGTTGGCGACTCTTTTGCTCTATCTTCTTCCCTTTTGGACGCCACCGTACTTTAGTGTATGATCACAGTGGGGTTCAAGCTAGGGTTTAACGCTTGAATTTATTCCCTATAGTTTTTTGGCGACTCCGCTGGGGAGGATTTCTATTTTAATTCCTGAATTTGTTTCGGCAATGATTTAGAATGAGTAGATGAGACGAAACATTCTAAGTATTTCATGTGCGTAATTTTGATTAACATTAATGTCATATGCATAAAAAAGATCCCACTGGAAAGATCACCCGTAATGAGTTAAAAACATAGGATTTTACACGTAGGCAATTTGAGAAATATCTTCCACAACTAGGACAAAAATAACACCGCGCGAAACTGGAAAATTTTATCGAGCACAGAAAGCTGCTGAGGCATGTGGGAAGTAGCGTCAGGGGCCAAAGCTTGGCGCCAGCATTTTAGTCGTAGCGCTAGACGCCAGTATTGGCGCCAGGCGCTACAGGTAAAAGCTAGCGCCAGTATTTGTTTGATGGCGCCAATTTCCCCCAATACCGAGCCAGAAATATGTGTTCTAATTTCGACCGGTTTTTCGTATTGTTTGTTCGATCCTACTTCCTGATTGAATTTTTTCTCACTTTTCTGAAACCCATATGTGTTCTACATATGGACATAACCCTCTGGGAATTCATGCTCCATCTACCCGATTGAATGCTCCGTGCAACAAAGGGTACATCCGAGATGTTGAATTCACCAAACCATGGAAGCGAGTTTTTCTAAACTCGCGGTGTCCCATCCATTCGCGCCAACCCTTCACGGTTAGGCTTCCGCGCGGTGCATTCGGACAATTAACCATGGACCCTCTATGACTAACCCATATCTCGAACTTTAGAGAACTAGAGTCATGGTTAGGTTGAAAACGCATTGCATCTTATTGTGCCTACTTGACTAATTGTGCATTATTTGTTGCGCATATATATTCTATGTTTCTCTTAACCGTTTGTTTGACTTGTGTTGAGGTTAAATAAATTAATGACTCGAAGAACTTTGCCTAATTAATTGATTAATTAATTTGAGTCAATAAAGTCTAATATTTTAATCGGAATCGACCTAGTACGACTTTAGGCATACCCCAATTGACTAATAACACCGAAAACAGTCCCAGATCAAAGCTCCAATATTGGTGCCAAGGTCTGAGCTGTAGCGCCTCATTATGGAGTGTAGCGCCTGACGACAACTCTGTCGTCTGGCGCCAAGCTCCACGGTGCAACGCCAGTCCTGTCGTTTGGCCGACAGTTCGGATTATTGGTCGAGTCATCACCTAGAGTCTAATTAATCTTTTTTCTAACTAATTCGGTTAGATTTTGTTGTCAATAGTACTTATTTGAGTCGATGATTGAATTTAGGCACTAAGTCCCATGGTCTTACACAAGAGTCCAAGCATGTCACTTACACTCAACGCACACACCAATACACATACTTTGACCATGTTTAAGAGAGTCTTGTGTGCGCGTTTCTTTTTCCGTCATTTTTTTTAGGGGGTAAGTCGGATATTAATCCTCCAATAAAAAAAAACTATACTTAGTTCCATAAAAATATGTACATTATTTTTGCCAAACATATGCACCCTTTTTTTACTTTATTCTTTTTTCTTTCTTAAAATAAACCGTAAAGTCAAGTTGATTCGAGTCAAGTAATTAAAACGCACAATGGTTTAACTTACCGCGCGTGGTCAAGAAAGGAAGGACGGTTAATCAAAGACAACCTTTTCGTACAAGTCCAACTTTTCGACAAACCCATAGCTCATAAGAGGAAAGCTAAGACTATAATGGCAACACAAGAAGAAGTCAATGATCTTAAGAACCAACTGGCTACCGTGACTGAGACACTGAAGCTTCTCGCACTCAAGATCGATGATCCCGTGAAGCAACAACAGATGGACCTCATGCAAGAGAGTCTAAGCAAGTTGTCTAGCGACTACAAGTTTCAAGAGCTTACATCACAAAAGGTCTCGGTGGACAAAGAACTTCTTCCGCAAAAGTTCAATGCCAACGACATCCCAAAATTCAGAGCGACTGACAACCCTTACTTTCATTTAAGAGAATTCGAAACAATAATGAGTATTAAGGGTATCGATAAGAAAGTTTTCCCCTCTCTATTCTCACTATCTCTCGAGACCGTTTTCCAACAATGGTTCTTTTCTCTCGAGAAAGAAAAGGCCTCTACCTGGGAGTCCATAGCAAACGCTTTCGTTGATAGGTACAAATGCAACATTCAAGTCGAGACTGACCATAGGGAACTTGAAATCCTCAAGCAAAAAGAGAATGAAGGCTTCACCTCCTTCTTCAACAAATGGAGGGAAACCTCAGCTAAGATGATCGAGGTGCTAAGTGAAAAGGAATCTGTGAGGCTGTTCACCAAAAATCTTCAAGAAAAATATTCCAAGCATCTCAAGTATCAAAATAATCTCCATACCTTTAAGGCCTTTTATGATATTCGGATCATTATTGAAGACGACTTGGCTAAGTTAAAAGCTGCCAACAATAACTCCAACAGTGGCTGGAAAGGAAAGAAGAACGACAATCCTTCTTCTTCCAAAACCGCCCACTCAAACAACGTTAGCACTTTTAATTTAGGAGAAGTCCTTGCTATGAACAATCAAGGACAGAAGAAACCATTTAGGAGGAACTTCACTCCTATTGGCATGAGTTATGACACTACATTTGATCGATTAAATGAAAAAGGTCTTATAACTCCTATTGGACCATTTGGGGACCCACCAGTCGAGAAGAGGTCGGCTAATTGGAACCCCAATGCACACTGCAAGTATCACCAAGGTAGGGGCCATCTCACCGAAAACTGTTGGAAGCTTAAGGAAGCTATCCAAGACTTAATCGACAACAACAAGCTGTCGTTGCCCCCTGCCAGTAAGAAGCCAAGCATTGACAATGCACCACTCGCTCATACCTTGGCTATCTCTGATGAGAAAAACGAGGTTGACCCCTCATCTCTCATTAGACCTGTCAAAGAAATCCATGCCGCCAAAAAAGAAGAAGAAATCTTTTTCGATGTCAAGGATAACCTTCCAGAACTGGCAAGTAAGGAAGATATACAATTGCTCACACTATCTATGATGGAGGTATCGCATCTACTACGTGAA